GCATGAAAATCCTGGTGTTTCTGGGCCTTTGGTCTCATCCATAACCTGCACATCCTCCAGCCCAGCCTGTCCTCACCCCTTTCCCATGAAGCACTGCCGGATCTTCCTCAGCAACTGCTTCTGCCTCGATGCCTCTGAATGTCAGGCCTGGCAGTGCTGTCTTTATCTGCAGATGAGCCGCATTCAAAGTTGCCCTTTTCTGGCTGGGCACAGTGGCTCACGCCTGCAATCCCAACATTTTGGAAGGCCAAGGCGACAGATCACTTGAGGTCAGGAGTTCGAGACCAGCCCGGCCAACGTGGGGAAACCCCGTCTCTACTAAAAATACAAAAATCGGCTGGGTGTGGTGATGGCTACTCGGAAGTAATCCCAGGTACTTGGGAGGCTGAGGCAGGAGAATTGCTTGAACTTGGGAAGTGGAGGTTGCAGTGAGCTCAGATCATGCCACTGGACTCCGGCTTGGGTGACAGAGTAAGACGCTGTCTCCAAAAAAAAAAAAAAAAAAAAAAGTTTTGTACTGTGCTCATAGTAAGAAAGACATTTTTCTTCATAATCCAGTACACATATGCACGAAAATATATGTAGCTAAAACAAAATGTATTTACTATGTGTAATATATTCTGGTATTTTCTATTTGGAGCCACTTCTTTTTTAACTCTGGTAATGATACTGAAAACTAATCTCCCAACCCACTAATTGATCCCCACCTACTATTTGGAAAACTGCTGTAGCCAGTAGGGATCACTAAAGGCTCCCAGCAGGGGATCAACATGATTAGAATAGCACGTTAGGACCCTGCCTCTCAAATGTTCTAAGATTCAGGATCTGTTTTGCAAATTTCCAATCTGTCACGTACCTTACTATTTAAAAACACAATAAGAATGAATTCTCTGAAGGTAAAATAACAAAGATATTTAAAAATGCAAGCCTAGATTCATTATAATTAGATTCAACAGACAGTGTGGGGTGCTAAGAGCATCAGGTGCAGGAACATTTGGGAAGGCCGGAGATGTGAGGCGGCTTTGGAAGGCTTTGTGAGGAAGACCACAAGCCCTTGACATGCAGCCACGTCTGCCCTGCCAGTCTCCGTCCTGGAGCATTTGAACTTGCATCGTCTGGGGGAGCTTTGCTGAGAAGAAAGGTGCCTCTGTGCAGTCTTTTGCCTTGTCAAGAAGGCCAGGCTGCCTAAATTCAACTCCTGACTCAGCCACTAACTGGCTACAAGCTGTGGATAAATGACTTAATTCTTCCAAGCCTTGGTTTCCTCCTACAATTGTCCTGGAAGATTAATCAAGCAATCCGTACCATGGGGCTTAGCCTAGTGCTGCACCTGGTTACACTCAACCCTCTTGCTCTCATGGCTGTGATTCGGTTGCTGTCCTCTGGGTTTGGGGGTTTTCTTTACTTTTTTTTTTTTTTTTTTTTTTTTGAGATGGAATCTTGCACTGTTAGCCAGGCCAGAGTGCAGTGATGCGATCTCAACTCACTGCAACCTCTGCCTCCCGGGTTCAAGAGATTCTCCTGCCTCAGCCTCCCCAGTCGCTGAGATTACAGGCACTCACCACCACACCCAGCTAATTTTTTGTATTTTCAGTACAGATGGGGTTTCACTATGTTGGTCAGGCTGATCTCCAACTCCTGACCTTGTGATCCTCCTGCCTCAGCCCCCCAAAGTTCTGGGATTACAGGTGTGAGCCACCGTGCCCGGTCCCCCACTTTTTTTTTTTTTTTTTTTTGATGGAGTCTTACTCTGTCGCCAGGCTGGAGTGCAGTGGTGTGATCTCGTCTCACTGCAACCTCTGTCTCCCGGGTTCAAGTGATTCTCCTGCCTCAGCCTCCCAAGTAGCTGGGATTACAGGCTCCCGCCACCATGCCTTGCTACTTTTTAAAAATTTTAGTAGAGATGGGGTTTCACCATGTTGGCCAGGCTGATCTCGAACTCCTGATCTCAGGTGATCTGCCTGCCTGAGCCTCCTAAAGTGCTGGAATTACAGGCGTGAGCCACCCGCCAGGTCTGCCGTCCTCTTGGTTTTCACGTGTGTTCTGCAGTCTCTCCTTAGTCTTCTTCGTCCTCCCTGGTCCTTTTTCTTGGCCCCACACTGACTACTCAGGCCAAACCTTCACCCTTCCTCACTTCTCCACCTCCTGCTTGCAGAAGATGGCTTGCGTCCTACTTGGCAGAGAAATGGCGATCTCCCACTCCACCCTACCCCAGGTTTTCTTCACTCCTACATCCCTTTTCAGGGACTCTGTGCCTAGCCAGGCTAATCCTTCCACCTGAGGCCCCTCCAACCTCCTCAGGAGCCTCTTTCCATCAGTGATTCCGACCCTCTTCTGGGAATCTTTCCAAAGAGTCAAATCTCTGGTCACTCCTCATCAGCCTAAGGCAACCTGCCCAGTGGTATGCTGGTAGATGTTTAATTAACAATGAGCTCTCTGGGGAAAATGCATGCATATATACACATACATATATTTATGATAAATTTTTTGTTGACATAAAGGATGGCTAATAATTTACAAATAATAAAAAATATATACTATCCTTTATTATAAATTGCACATAGCCATTTGGGTCTTACAGAATGCTTTCACTGATTTTTGCCAACCTGCTGAATCCATAGCCAGCCTACAGTTGTAACTGACAAATGAACGTAGTTCCAACATGAATGTTAACTGATATTTTTGTTTGTACCAACTAGCAAGAAAAAAGTGAAACCAGAAAGACAAGATGTTGGAACTTCACTTGTTTTTTTTTTTAAAGAATGGGTTGCCCAGACCTTGGAGTGCAGTGGAATGATCATAGCTCACTGTAACCTCAAACTCCTGGGCTCAAGAGATCCTCCTGCCTCAGCCAGTGAACACCATGCCCAGCTAACTTTTTTATTTTTTGTAAAGAACTGGTTTAGTTATGTTGCCCAGGCTGGTCTTGGACTCCTGGCCTTGAGTAATCCTCCCGCCTGGACCTCCCAAAATGCTGGGATTACAGGCAAAAGCCACTGCACCTGACCAGAACTTCACTTGTCAATGGTGTTAGCAATTTCTTTACTGAAGCAGAGAATAGTTTTTGAATACTGGAAGAATATTTGCTTCATTTTTCTGTGCCATTCACAATGCAATGGCCATTGGCAAAACATACATTTAAGTTTAATGTGCATTATTAGCATTTTCTCCATAACTTTCTTAAGTCTAGATAGTCAACTAAATAATGAATAAAGCCCTGATTTGTGGTGGTTGCTGCCCATTTCTGTAGTGTAAGTATTCCCACTATGGCTGATTTCAATCCACCAATATGATGTCACTGAATGCAGACTTGGGGAAAAAGCACAGTAACACAACATTATATAGTATTTCTACAGACATAATAGATGTACATAATCTTAAAAGAATAAATAATAATAAAATATATAATTATTGCCAGGCATGGTGGCTCATGCCTGTAATCCCAGCACTTTGGGAGACCGAGGTGGGTGGATTACCTGAGGTCGGGAGTTCGAGACCAGACTGACCCACATGGAGAAACCCTGTCTCTAATAACAATACAAAATTAGCCAGGCATGGTGGTGCATGCCTGTAATCCCAGCTACTTGGGAGGCTGAGGCAGGAGACTCCCTTGGACCCAGGAGGCAGAGGCTGCAGTGAGCCAAGATTGTACCATTGCACTCCAGCCTGGGCAACAAGAATGAAACTCTGTCTCAAAAAAAAAAAAAAAATCATCAGGAAGTGATGGTTTTTGAAAATGTATTATTTTTGCCTTAATATAATTAATTTAATGGTAAGTTTATATAATTTAATTTAAAATTTAGTTTTTCATAATGGCTGGGTTTAACCATTGGTTCACGAAATTCCTGAAGATTTAACAATCAGCTCATAGGAACTGTTATGATCTGAGCACACCTGGATCTGAACCCCGACCCCAGCTCTGCCGTGAGCAGGGCCTCAAAAGGCTCTCCGAACACCTGATGGCCCTTCCCAATGTATACTTTCCAGATCTGATCAGCGAAACGGAACTCATTTTCCTTCTCTCCAGTCTGCTCCTTTGTGGGCTGCCATGTTGGTGGAGGGCTTTGCCATTCACCCTGGGGTGGCAGGAGTTGCGGATGAGAACTCTGGACAGGAAGAAGCCTGGGATCAGAGGATGGGGATTTTGGAATTGTTTAGAGCAGAGGTGAAATAGTTTTGCGTAATGACAACGTTGGGTGGGTGAAGAGTCCCTGGGCTGAGGAGGGCACGGAACCGTAAGGCTAGGCTGTTCCTGGAGGTCAGGGCATGGGCTGATGGCACAGTCACACTCCTGTTAAACATCTGTCAACTAGCTTCCCTGCAACAAGTTATGTCTGACAGCCCTCCAGAGCTCCTGGGGCAGGGGTCCCAGAGCAGACTGTGAGTCACGCGCCTGACAACCTCCCACACCCATACTCTTCTGGGATCGCTCCAGGCTAAGGCTGGATCCTCAGGCAGGAGGAAGGAGGATCAGCCTTGACCAGAGGCACAGAAAGCTATAAAGCCCCTAGCCCCTTCCTTGAAGGGCAGAGCTCCTTCTGAGGACAGAGAAGGGTCTGGAGGGGATGTGGAGGCAGGTGTTTAATGAAGGACTTGACTGTATCTGGGCTTTCCATGGCGGTGATGCCTGGACGGAGGCCAGAGTGTCCTAGGTGAAGTGGGGGATTCTGAATGGAGTCCACAGGGAACAAGAGCCCAGCCTGCAACCCACCTTTCCTTGCACACCATCTAACTTCCCATCTGTACTGCTGCCCCTCAGCCTCCCTGCTGGTGCCGCTCCTCCCCTGAGAAGCTTCCCTGCCTCCTCCCATGTACTTCAGGAAATTGGTAAGTTTGGAAAGCACCCAGAATTACTTGAGGATAAGACTGTAGTAAGTACAATTTGAATTTGCCAACAGACTTTACCACCAACTTCACTCGCCTAGGGAGAGAGGCCAAGTCCATGGGTTTCTCCCTGTGGTTCTGTGGCTTCACTGGGAAAATGTGGGCCTTGCTGAGCCATGGAGGAAAAAGGAGTGGAGTGTGATGGAGACAGGAGACAGAAGTCCCTCACGGTGCCCAGCGTGCTGAATGACAGGCCTCATGGCCAGGTGAGTGCAAGGCCGGGCAGAGCTGCTTGTTTCATGTTCCCTACTCTTTCCCCCGTGGTCAGTGAATTTGCTTTGGCTGAACCAGGGACGATTTCTACATGGCCTTGAGGCCACAGGCATATGTAGGCAACTGCACACTTCAGGGTGCAAGGGGTTACACCTGTCCCTTGCTCAAAAGTCATGGGAAGTTGCTAAACAGACCAAAAGAAGAACCAGCACGCTTACTGCTCTCTGTCCTCCCCTTTCCCACCCCACCCTCAGCTGTTAGCTCACAGAGGGTCAAAACAAGCAAGATAAAATCTGTCCAACTCACAGCTTCAAAGGAACACAAGTTAGACATGTGACCCAACCGCACCCAGCCTTGTCCTCCCAGGTGTGTGGCCCTGGAAGGCCCAACCCTCCGGCCGCGTGGCCCATGTAGACGCCGGGTGGGCAAAGGCTTTCATTCCAGACCCAGTGCTGCCCTCCCACGAGATCCCAGTCTGAGTTTGGTCTTCCTGTGGTTCTCCTTGGAAGCCAGGCCCAGCTCCACAGTGCCTCCTCCTCATGCTCACCTGGCTCCCTCCAATCCGATCTGAGGCAGGAGGTGATGCGGACCGCAGTCTTCACGGCAACCTCAACCCTGAGGGCCCAGAGTCAGTGCTGGAGCCACCTACCAGGAGTCACTTCCACAGCCCTTGAGGCTGAATGAGAGCCTTTGGGTTCCTGGATAGCGGAGAGCACAACCCAGACATGGCCCTGGGTATGAAACAAATCCTTTCTGAACCTGACACCAGACTTTTCCCCAGAGGTGATTTTTAAAAATTATTTTTTGAATGCTTTCCAGATTTGAGTGAATGAATGAATGGGTGACAATGACCCTAAGTCATGGCCTTCAAGGCCTGTACACTTGTGGGTTAAGAAAGCCCCTTTCCAGCCTGGCATCGCTGGCCCCCTCCCTCTCCCCCTCCAGGCACAGAGTGTCCTGGAAGGGATAATGGCACAATACGGCCTCTCCACACCTTATTCCCACCATCTCCCGTCGCTGTGCCCCCATCAAAGCACACACAGAGTCCCAAATCAGACCAACCTATAGGAACAGAGTGCCCCCCACAAAACACACACACTCATACACTGAGGAGATACAAATTGGGCAAAAATGGGACAGGCAAGGTGACTCATGCCTGTAATTCCAGCACTTTGGAAGGCTGTGGCAGGTGGATCGCCTGAGGTCAGGAGTTTGAGACTAGCCTGGCCGACATGGTGAAACCCTGGCTCTACTAAAAATACAAAACTTGACCGGGCATGGTGGCGCACACCTGTAGTCCCAGCAACTCAGGAGGCTGAGGCAGGAGAATCACTTGAATATGGGAGGAGGAGGTTGCAGTGAGCAGAGATCAAGCCACTTCACTCCAGCCTGGGCTACAGAGTGAGACTCCGTCTCAAAAAAAAAAAAGGGGGGGGGGGCAAACAAAATGGGCAAAAATGTAGAAATTTAGTTTTACTGAACTTTTTTGTAAAATTATGGGAATTCCCAGTGTCTCAAAAGAAAATGACAACCTCCAGACAAGCACATTTAAGTAAACAACGTAAAGGCACTGGCAGCCACTGTGGATGGGAAGTCATCAGCAACGGGAGCCCTGCCCCCTCAGGGTTCCGTCATTGTTTTGCAGGTGCGATTCCTGCTTCCTCCACCATTCTGTAAGTTGTGTAAGATGCTGTTGAAAGAGCATGGGACTGAAAGGCAGGAACCTCACGTTCCAAACCCAAGACTGGCCAGGTAGCTGCGTGACCTTGGGCGAGGTCCTCTACATCTCTGGGTTATCATGTCTCCATCTGTAAAATGAAGGTTGACCTTCCTGTATAATTTCATGTCTTGGGTTTCTACTGTACTCTCACTCTACCTGGCCCATTACCACCTAGGAGGGGCCTAATAAATACAAATGAAAAGAAGTGGCGCCAAATGATTTTTTAGTCAATATAACCCCAAATCTGGTTTCAGCTAAGATTTGGATACAGAAAGTACCATTTCCCCACTAGTTCAATCGGAAAGTTGGGTGGAATGCATCTTTGGAGGGCCACAAGGTGGAAATTAGAAGAGTGACTCTAGAGGAGGGAGTGAAGAAAAGGAGGTGACAAGGTGGCCAGTGGGGCCTGTTGGTGTCACCCTGAGCTGTATCATTCCAGGCTGTCTGGCCCGTCCTCTAGGTCATGAGCCCCAGAAGTGGGTCCCTGCCCTTGGGTGGTGAATGACAAGTGTGGGTATGGATCCCCCAGACACTAAATTCAAACTCAGATATCCCTTACCCTGCCCCAGCCCATAAAGGAAGCAGGCTGGGGCTCCATGGGCTTCCTTTGCACAAATGCAACTGGCCAGGTGCCTGTTTCTGGCTACAACTCTCTGCAGGGCGGGCATGCTGGCAGTCTTGGACCTTAAGGCCAGCCAGTGATCCCAGCACTCTGAGAAATGCTTGCTCCAGCTCCCAGAGAAGCCTCTTCCCCAGGGGCTCTGTGCTCTCCCAACACTCTCTCCACCCCTCCAGGCCTCTGGGGGAGTCTCCTTGGGGAAAGTTTTCCCAGGCTGGTTCTGAGCATGGTCACACACTCATCCCTGGATAGTTGCCCCACAGAGGGGACACAACCCGGAGGGCCAGGGAGCTCAGTCTGGGAATGGGACCAGCGCTGCCTCACCCACCAGGCCACCATGAGAAAACAACTTTGGGCCCCATTTTCCCCTTCATAAAATGAAAACAACAAGCCCAGCCCATCAAGCAGTTATGTGGATTAAAGGAGATAACGCATCAGGGCCTTAGGTCAAACCCAGAGCTAGCTCCCATTCACCCTGATGATTAGGCAGAGCTACAAAAGCCCTCACAGATTACACCAACCACAAGCCACAGCAAGGCATGACAAGGTTAAGAAAGCCCTTTCCCAGCTTGACATGGGTGAGGGTGTCCTGGTGAGGCAGTGACTGGAAAAGGCCCCGAACACCAGAAGCAAACCTCACGCCCTCCGAGGTGGTAGCAGCCCGTGGACAGGAGAGCCGGGCTGCTTCAGAGGTCATGGAACCTTCCCCTTCATTGCACAACTGAGTAAACTCCTAGACGATGAGTGACTTCTCAGAGGCCACACAGCAGGTCTGTGCCATTTGGACAAGAGGCTTATCTTCTTCGTATTTCTTCTCCGTGTGGCCAGATTATTTCCTTGGATACTCATGTGTGTTTCAATGGTTGTATTTTTCCTCCTCCTCCCATTCCAAGGTGGTCTTGGACCTGTCCTCTTTTGGGTGTCCCTGCTGCAGGAGACATGTTGTTTGTTTTTGTTTTTTTGAGACAGAGTCTCATTCTGTCACCAGGCTGGAGTGCAGTGGTGCGATCTCAGCTCACTGCAACCTCCGCCTCCCAGGTTCAAGTGATTCTCCTGCCTCAGCCTCCTGAGTAGCTGGGACTACATGTGCGCACCACCATACCCAGCTAATTTTTGTATTTTTAGTAGAGATGGGGTTTCACCATGTTGGCCAGGATGGTCTCAATCTCCTGACATCGTGATCCACCTGTCTCAGCCTCCCAAAGTGCTGGGATTATAGGCGTGAGCCACCGCACCCAGCCAGGGACGTTTGAGTTTCAGGACCAGGTAGAAGCCACCCCAGGCCCTTCTCTCCTTTGCCTCTTTGTTCCAGTATCTGGGCTCCTTGTAGACTCTGAGGGAAGAGTCTTGGGAGTAAATGAGAATGCAGAGGGGAGGAGGAACTGGGGACTGGGAAGAGGGCAGAGGCCTGTACTATGTCTCTCTGGGAGGGGCAGGACACAGAGGTGAGGAGGCCAGCCCTGGACATGGGACCCCCCTCAAACTGGGCACAAAGGCCCCCAAAATGGCCTGGGGGCAGAGTCTCAGCCTCATGAGGCCCTTGAGAGTGACAGGCTCCTTGCCTGCCCACATTTCTGGGCAGCCTCCTAGATTCTGGGGTGACCCTCACTGGATGGGGCCTAATAATGACCAAGATGAAGTTTCCGCCTCCTCAGGCACCATGGGAGCTCAGAGTTGGAACTGAGTTGATTTCAGGAACGTTTCCTGCCACCTGGGTTGGTGGACTGAGCTCCACGCTCTCCATATGAGGCATTGCTCGGTCCCCTTCACCACACTGCTCTCTACAACACCATCACCCACTTGTACGATGCTTTACACGGTGACTTCACGACCATCCGTCCAGTACCTGAACAGGCCTAAATTGTGCCCGTTTAATGGATGAAAAACTAGGGCTCAGAAAATAGAATGAGTTTTCTCCCTGCCACTGGCCTGCCCTAGCGAGCAGGGAGCCTCATTGTGAGTTCCACCGCCCTGGGCAGGCCTCCGAGGGAGAAACCAAGTCTGTACAGGGAGCACGTGGGCAGCCTGCCTTCCCCCATGGCCCCTTCAGTGACTTAGTAGGATGCAGCACCAGTCACAGCTTCTAGATGCTCACCTCACCTGACTCTGGCTGTGTGTCACCTTGAGTGGAAGCTAAAGATCTAAACACTGACAAAAATTCCTGTAGGTGATTGAGAAATCAAAAACAAAGAAAACCGACTGGCCACCAAACAGATGAAAAAATCCGTAAACTCATTAGCAATGAATTAATGCCCACTAAAGTCACATTGTTATTATCGCTGTTTCTCTTTTAAGTTGGCAAAGTCTTTTTCTCATCCCCTGCAATCAATGCTATTTGTGGGAATATACGTTTATATAATTTTCATGTATACATGCACACACATACATACATATGTATGCACACACATACACACACATATGTGTGTATGTGTGTATTTATCTAAGAAGCCTCACAAATATTCACACTCTAAATACAACATGCTATCTTGGAATGTATCCCAGAACAGTAAAGGACATTCATGGAAAAAAAATGAGTGAAATCCCAAAATATCTGGAGTTTACTTAACAGTATCATACCAATATTAGTTTATTAGTTTTAGCAAATGTACCCTGGTTAGGTAAGATAGGAGCATTAGAGGAAGCTGGATAAAAGATATATGGAAACTCTCTCCACTATCTTTGCAACTTTCTATAAATCTAAAATTATTTTATTTGTTTACTTATTTAAGACGGAGTTTCGCTCTTGTCGCCCAGGCCGGAGTGCAAGGGAGATAGCTCACTGCAATCTCCCCTTCCTGGATTCAAGTGATTCTCCAGCCTCAGCCTCCTGAGTAGTTGGGATTACAGGCACCCGCCACCACGCCCAGCTAATTTTTGTATTTTGGGTAGAGATGGGGTTTCTCCATTTTGGCCAGGCTGGTCTCAAACTCCTGACTTCAGATGATCTGCCCACCTTGGCCTTCCAGAGTGCTGGGATTACAAGCGTGAGCCATTGCACCTGGCCTAAAATTATTTTAAAATAAAAAGTTGTTTTTAAAGTTCACATTCTTTTACCCAGAATTTCACTTCTCAGATTTTATCTAAAACTTATCAGAGAAATAGATCAGAGAAAGGCCATCCTTTACTTACAAGGATATTGCACCACTTGTGATAATCACAAAAAAGTATGAAAATTATCTACATGTCCAAGAACAGTAAGTAGATTAAATAAATTATGCTGCATCTAATGATGATAGAATGTGACCAGAAAGTATTACATTATAATACTTGTTGATGTGGCAAATGCTTA